ATAAATGCAATTATTATTACTATAATTATTATTATTATTATTATAATTATTATCATACCCACTCAGCCTGGATAGGCCCTTTCAGGCAGGGTTGAGGCAATCTACATCTTGTAGTTATTTCTGTCTCAAAATGACTTTGTGGGTGTTTGACAATAGTCCAAGCGGGAACTTCTGCTTCTTGTGCCGGTATTATTTAACTATACCTGTAAATATTCATGGTGTTTCATTGGAGAAGGTCCCCTTTTCATTCTGCTAGCTTATGTTTTTTTTCTTTCATTTTTTGTTGTTGTTGGTCATTGTATGCCAACGTTTGATGAGAAACGAGTTGTGGTTTTTTTTGTTGTTGTAAGTTTTCGTGGGTCAAGTTGTGCATCGTGTATGTTGGATGAACTTGTGGTTGTACCATTGTGAAAATAGACGAGGCCCTGAATAATGAGAGTGTTTGTGTGTGTGAATGTTTACACTGAATGATGAGAGTGTTTGTGTGTGTGAATGTTTACACTGAATGATGAGAGTGTTTGTGTGTGTGAATGTTTACACTGGATTATGAGAGTGTTCGTGTGTGAATGTTTACACTGGATGTTGGGAGTGACTGTGTGGGAATGTTTTGTGCTTATCTGGAAGCCGGCAGGTGTGAGTGAAAGGGGGTGTGGTCGTGTAAATAATTCAAGGGTTTTTATTTTTTGTGCTTGTACATTGTTGTTGAAATGAGGTAGTGCTTGATGAAGCCCATGTGGGACACTCACTGTTAAAAACAATCAGGAAACGACAAATGCAGTTTTTGAGACACTTTAATAGACATAAATGTCTTGAAACTCTAGCTCTCACTGGCAAAATTGAGGGCAAACGAGGCAGGGGTAGGCCCAGCGCAACCTACTTTGGGAACCTAAACAGATGGGTAACAGGGAAGGATCAGGGAAAAGTAGCTTTTTTAAGAGCATCCGAGCAAAGGAATGAATGGAGAACCATGATCGCCGATGTCTACCGCAGATTTGGCACTGGATGAATGATGACGTTGTTGTTAAACCGTGGGATGGTGAATGTTACGTTACAGCTCATCTTATGGGTGGCTGGAAGGTGTCACTGGCTGGTCCTACTTCTTTTCTTTCTTTATGATGTTTCTGTCTGTCTGTCTGCCTTGCTTTTTTTCCAGCACTGAATGATTATTTTTAGGCTTGTGTGCTTGTCTTTGTTCCGTCTCAAAGTATGGTGAGTTGTTCACTCAGTGGCTGTTCGTGCATGGTGCGTTATTATAGGGAGTTAATTACTTATGTACTGTTTAGTTTCTTCATGTGTGTGATGTTTTAGTGTGCATGGTGCGTTATAGGGTGTTAAGTACTTATGTACTGGTTAGTTTCTTCATGTGTCTGATGTTTTAGTTTTAGGTACAGTACCCTTGAAAGTCTGGAATTATTCTGTTTTGCATGCCTCATTTGTGTGTCACTAGTCGGTGGTTGAAGGGTGCCGTTTGTAGGTCCTACTCCGTTACATGACCATTAATCATGTTATTGTGTCTTTTGTACTTCAAACTTCTCTTTCCCCTTACTCAAAGTATGGTGAGTGGGTGGTTGGCGGGTGCTATGATAGGATTTTTTTCTCCTTCTTATCTATCAAACGTCTCTCAGTCTTATCACTTCTCCTTCTTTTCTTTATGTGTTATTCTCTAGTTACACCTCTAATCTTATGTGACTTATTTGTGTTGCAAGTGCTGTAAAACTCTCACTGAAACTGAAAGGTGTTTAGTTATACTCTATGATTGTACATGATACATATGTATGGGAGTTCTTACTGATGTACAGTATTATAATGCCTTCATTCTTGTGCTTTTTGGGGTGATTAAGAAAATGTGAAATCATCTTTGTCATGATTCCATTTTTGTCTCTTGCCTCAGTATTGTCATATTATGTTTGAGGAGGTTTTATTTATGATTGCCCAGACAGAGCTTTTTGGGTCTAGTCTTGGGTTGAGTTTTTGCTGCTCCGCCATGTTGTAACTTGACTGGTTTATTTCATGTGCTAGTCCTTGCAATAAACTTGTTCGACTCACAATTAAAAGGTTTGTTTTGTTCTTTTCGTATTCTTTTGACCTAAAATTTTTTATTTTTTTAAAAACTTTTTAAACATGTCATTAAAGAAAGATGTAATTAATAAATAATTTTTTTCCTCGCTCTTGCTTATCATCTTTTCTGCCAACCAACTACCTATTCACCACCCTACCTGCCCATCTTTCTTCCTTTCTACCCATCAAGCTACCTGACTACCTCTTCAATTCTCTACCAACTTGCTAACCTATCTATCGAACTACCTCCTCATTTGTCTGTGGGAGGTTGGCGGGTGCTCTGGTGTGGTTTGCTGCTTTGGTGTGGTTTGCTGCTTCTTCTTTCCTATCAAACATCTATCGTCCTTATCTCCTCTCCTTCTTTTTTAATGTTTGTTACTCTCTTGCAACACCTCTAATCTTCTGGCGCTCATATGACCTTATGCAGTTGCGAGCGCCGTAAAACCTCTACTTAAACTAAACTAAAACTCATTTGTCTACAGCTGCTCCATTAGCTCGGTTTATATCATGCTGAGCTACAGAGAGGATGGACGCGCTTGAATTCTAGTCTGGGCGTTCTTGAACTTGGGTTATATTTTCGAGTTTTCAAGGCTCTCAACTCATTTGGCTCGATCCTATCAGAGATGGACGTTAAGTTCAGAGGTCCCACCTAATAATAGTGTTGATAAACCCATACACATTACACTCGTTTGTTAACCTACCATTCTACCTTACCTATGAACCTATCTACCTACCTACCAATATCTTACACACACATCAGTTTAGCCTGCACAACGGGAAATTGTCCGGAGGTGGAGATGGTTCCGTTAGGTGCGAATTTCTGGTTATGTGTCGAAAAAATTCAAGACCTGAAAATCTGCTCTCATTTTTCCCTATGTGACATGTGCGTGTTCCCTATTTGTCCCAGTCGTTTTTATGCAAGAAACATTTGGAAATTATGCAAACAGCCCCAAAATGTGCAATTATGCTATTCTGTTAATTTTTAACAAAGAATGATAAAGGAGAATAATAAGAAATTATGCCAAAAAAATGATCAAATTTTGCTAAATTATGTGGGGTGCATAAAACCACGGGGACAGCCTTCATGTGCATGGTCCAACAGTGAATTCTTGAACTTGGGTGGCTTTGGCTCTCCCATTTCTCTATCCTTTTGTAATTTCTCCTATCGGAGATGGATGTAAAATGGAGATCTCATTCCTGTAACTGTAATAGCCACTACATCGATCAAAGAGGAGATAAATACCCCCCCTCTCAAACACAAAACAAGACAATTACCCTCCGCCCCCCCCCCCTTCCCCCCACCCTCCGCCCCCCATTTATGAAAATGCTTTATCATCTATCACGTTTATACTGGGTTATTATTGGTAAGATGTGAAATATCACATGTATTTTTAAATTAAAAAATCTCTTTTCAAAGCAATATGACTGAAACAATACAACTAAATGCCTCAAGTTAAAGTTAATGTATTCTTTGTGAATGAAGAAAGATTAAAAGAACAATACTAGATCTACACTGATATTCTTTTGGATACTTTTGTGAAAGAAGTCCTCCATATTGCTTTGAAAAGAGATAAAAATACCTGTGATATTTCACACCTTGCCAATAATAACCCAGTCTAAACTTAGATCTAGATGATAAAGCATTTTTAAAGAAAAAAAGAAAAGCTTTGTCACTCATTCCAACAATAATCTAGTACGTCATGTATTATTATCAACCCGTTAGTTTATGCCCCTCCCCACACACATACACACATCCAAGACGTCACAGCTGAGACTTCTAGTTCTATTTATAACCTCTTTGACATGGACATAACCCCACTCAATGAATAATTATGAAGTTAGTTTCTGTTTTTCTAGTGGAAGAATGACGCACACAAAATGTGCACTCACATTACAGCGGGAGCAAACGTCATGCTTTCTTTGCAAAAGCATTGATCGATACGAGTCTTCTTCGTTATATTGTACAAGGTCGCTATCAATGAATTCTTTGTAATCTGTACAAGTTCCTTGTGCACTTCTGGCTCCAGGAAGAACTGAATAAGAATTAACAGTGTCACCAGTGTTACTTTTAGTTTTAGGCTGAAAAAACCGGTTGATTCATATAAAGTTCAAACGATGCCGCTTCTATAATTAATTTACACAAGTTTGATAGCGACTTGATTTATCTACGAAGAGGTAAAGGGTCAAAGGTCGACTCACGATCAAAACAATTTCTGATGATGTCATCGGGCAGTATTTGACTGTCTGCTTTGAGTGCATACGTGTGTGAAGTGAAAGAAAGTGTACAATAGTGTACAAGCTACATCATGGCTAGTCCTGCTCGAGGTATGCACTGGTTTACTTACATCTATCCTTAAACTATCGAAAGACTTAGCGCCATTTTCTTGTCATAAGGTTTTGTACGATTGACAGTGGAAAACATTCACGAGTGTCTACCTGACTAGGCGGCCTTCGCATCTCCTACCGGGCCAACACCGACTGCTAGCTAGACACGACTTGCTGCGACACAAGCCAAGGTCGTTTATCGTACCGCCCCCCTCTTGATTGACCAGTTGAAAACGTATAGAAATCTAGAATCTAGATCCAGACCATCATCTAGATTTAGATCTAGATCTAGATCTAGTTTGATGTAGAAGTCTCATGTCGGGCGGGACAACCGGTCAACCATGACTGCTCAGACTGAGTGTAAAGTTGAGATCATTTGAAACTGCCCTGTTGCGTACAAAGATCAGCCTCTCTTCTCTAGTGAATGTGATCTCATAAGTCACAAGTGTTATAAAACTCGATGAAACGGTAGGCTACAATGTTTGCCCCAGATGGGATCACTCCGAGGTGTGAACTGACCATTAAGCATTTTTTCCCCCCCAAACATCGCACGTCATCTGAGCTCTCGACCTAAACTTACATCACACACGGGTGGGTAGGGCCTACAAGTTCGCTCCTGGCGGGATCACATCGAACTGTGAACCCTTCCCTGACCATAGCAGCAGTTGTCTCTACTCCTCAATTTGCGAGACTGACTGAATGTTAATTGGTGTGGTCATAAAGTTAAATGTTGCGTAATTACAAAGGTGGGGGGAGGGGGGGGGGGCCTCGATCAGAGAAGGAAACTAAATTTTGGACTGGTAAAGGGGAGGGGCAACTCTGTTATAAGCGTAGATCTTGAGACTCACGATAGGATGATAAGTGAAAACGGTATGCCTCATGCATATACAGGAATTTTTCAATGTGTGTTTTTGACTGTTATCTGACACCCAAAGTCCAAAGACAGACACAGGGGTTCAGGAGCAGGTAATTCAGCGCACTATATATAATGCAATGTGAGCACAGTGATGTAACGTGGGTACAGTCGAAATTGTCAAAAACAGCTACCCGTTGTTGAAGAGAAAAGTGGCTGTCATAGGCAGGTGGCCATCTTACACAGTCACAATTTCTTGGGGGAATTGGTAAGTGGCTGTTTGTACAGGTTATTGCTATATCTGTGTCTGTTAGAGCAGGTTTGACCGTATATAGGGAAAGATGTGCTATCTTTGGTGCGGCGCATATATATATAAGCTAGTCAACAAAAGTTAAGAAATGCACTCTAAAAACAGTGATATATTCCCAAGCATTCTTTCGGGGTTTTACTTTTACTTGTAAAACTAGATATTGGTGAAATGTTACTCTATGACTAATGGGCTTGTACACACCAGGGTTTGAAATGCACGTGACTCCTGTGCGCTGAGCTGGGGAAGGGGTAAAAAGGTCCAGTGTTTTCCAATTGTCGATTTTTATTCTCTCGCTCTAACCTTCAGGAAAAATTATGAACGCTCAAAAATCAGTTTTAACGTGCAAGATTCACGTCTCGTGAGAGAGTTGCACTCCCTCATTTGCACTGTGAATACACCATTTTGCTGCTGTAGGGGTAAGCGTAAACATGCCTCCTCGATAGAAATTATCTGATGTAAACAGAGGACGAGCCATTTCTTGGACACAAGATGGTGTTTCACTCCGACAAATTGCTACACGTCTTTAAGTGTCCGTTTCTGTCATTTCACGGCTGATTAAGCGTGTCAACGCCACTGGTAGGGCCCAAGAGCGATCCAGACCAGGTCGACCAAGAGCCACTAATGCAAGGGAAGACCGTTTCATTCATAGACAGGTAGTGCAGTCGAGATCCGCTCCTGCAAATTGCATCCGGACACGGCTGAGAGCGGCGACTCGTGTTAACATTAGTTGTCAAACCGTACGAAGACGTCTTCAAGAGTCTGGACTTAATGCACGTCGACCAGCAGTCCGTCAGCGTCTCACCCCAGCACACAAGGCTGCTCGTCTTGCCTTTTGCCGACGCCATGTAAGATGGACACGTCAACAGTGGGCAAACATTCTCTGCAGCGACGAGTCCCGGTTCTTTTTGCATCACAGTGACGGTCGTATCAGGGTTTGGAGGCGACCCAGAGAGCGGCTCCTCGATGGAGCCGTCAGATCAGTGATGCCTTTTGGAGGTGGTTCCGTAATGGTATGACGTGTTTTCAGTCTGAACCACGGAACACCTCTGTACCATGTGCAAGGGAATCTCACTGCAATACCTTACCGAGATTAGATACTCCGTCCATTAGCACTATCTACTCAGCAGCAGATGGGGCCACACGCCTTGTATCAGGATGACAACGCCCGACCTCATAGAACGTTGCTTGTCCAAAACGTCATGCAGCAGGCTGGCATCAACCGAATGGACTGGCCGGCCTGCTGTCCAGACTTGAATTCCATAGAAAACCTCTGGGATGAGCTGCAACGTCGAGTCAGAGACAACCACCCTCCTCCAGGAGAGGCGCAGCAACTGTTTCAGATGCTGCAGGCAGAGTGGCAGTGGATCTCTCAGAGAGTGTTCACCAACCTCATGAACTCGATGAGGAGCCGGTGTACTGAGTTCCAGGACAATCATGGAGGGCACACTCATTATTGAAATCATCTTAACTGTTTTGTTTTTGTTGTAGTCAGGAGTTAAAGTAACTTCGAAGCCACTTGAAAATTTTGTGATTTGGGATTTTAACCCCTACCAAACCAAACCCAATGAACTTTTCAAGCAAGTTAAAATGGAATAACGTAATTTTCTTTTTTGTTATTTGTTATACACATGTTGATTAAAATGAGTACGAAATTTCATTGCGTGTTGAAGTTTGCTTTCGAAGTTATACACTTTTTCCCACATGTTCCTTAATTTTTGTTGACTAGTTTATAATATATATATATATATATATATGAATTGAAGTGTACGAAATAGTAATAGTGAATACATTACGTTCTGTTCCTGTGAATAATTGAACGGTTTTCTTCCTCAGTCTTCAGCCTGAAGTGTGCTGTCCAACAGTATGCCTGGGGAAAACTTGGTAAAGAGAGTGCTGTGGCACAGCTTAAGGCTGGTGCAGACCCCAGCTTCACTATTGATGAAAATGCCAAATACGCTGAGGTATGGTATTGCTGTCACAAAATCTCTCACTCAACAACACTTTACATGGCTTGTCCTTGTTGTTCTATTAATTTACCTTTCAGTATAAATATGGCGCCAGTTCAGTTGGCACTCTCAATTGTTTACAGTCAGAACAGAACAAAATTTACCAAACCCCAACAAATCCATCTTTTTTATAATCAAACTATATGTTCATTTCTCGGAGCTTTCATTTCTACTCATTTTGGTGTTCTTTTGTGAAAATCTGAAAAAATAGTGGCAGTGATAATAGTAATGAGGAAGTTTGTGATGCTGAAAAATTGGATGTCAAAAAAGAAGTTTACAACGAATGTGAAATAGTCTTTTGTATCCAGTTAATGGCAACGGGCACACATTGTCTACGGTTGAAGACATATCTTGTGCGACGATACGGTGGAATCAGGCACTCGTCAATTGGAGGTGGGAGTCGCCTGGTTTCAGAGGTAAAGTTAGCGAGAAAATGGCTGTCAAAGTTTAATTATTTCCTTAGCTTAAGAGTCCGTGGAAACTGAAAATTTACATCTTTTATGTCTGTAATCATTGTTTTTCCGTAAAATCCACACAGTAATGTGTTCTTTAATGGGCTTGAAAGGTGTTGAATGAAAAATGTTTTTAATCGATAAAAATTCACAAACCTGCAGAAAAATGCCAGTTTCTTCACTTTCATTATTTTGACGAGCGCCTAATTTCACCATGCTTCCTCACATATTGTGTTTAGGGGAGAGAAAAAAACCCCACCAGATTTTTTTTTACACTGGTGGGTGGGTGGTCAGAGGGTGCAACTCATGATAGGTTCCAAATCTTTTCTTTTCCTCTGATGTTTCTGTCAGTTGAGTATGCCCCACTGTTCCTGCACACTAAATGGCCTAAATAATCTAGACTATCATCATGGTCAACATACAGTTATAGCAGAAGTAACCGTATTTTGTCGGCCTTTTTCTCGCTAACTTTTCCACAAGAACCAGGCAATCCCACTTCTTTCAAAGGCAAATATCTTGACTTCTGTTTACGATAGATAGGTGTTATTTTTCTTGAAAGCAAGGCAAACAAACGCTCTTTAAGACGATACCAATAACTCAACGTGCCCAAAAATTGACGAGCGCCTGTTTCCACCACGTTGTGACACATTTTTGATGATGGAGTGTTTGGCAGGTCTGCATTAACCAAAAAATTAAAATGTCTAATTAAATGTTTAGAATTTTATTACTTGAAAGTAACCCTTACTATATTTTAAGGATACGAAACAGTGTCTGACACGTTCTTAATGTATCAATTACTGGAGGCCTGAAAAATACGACTCCGGAAATTTTGTTAAGACCGTAAGCTTACGTTGATGGGGTTTGAAAACACTATTTGTTGTCTTTACAATCCTGTCATGTGGTGGATGGGCACACATCCTAACATATCATCCATCACAGGGTTGAAGCAGCCATCCTAATTAATGATTAAAATTTGTCAGGGGAATGTAAAACAGTTTTTTTTTTTCACAGTCTTTACAATGTTACAATCTTTACTATATTGCTTTGTTACAATCTGTACAATATTACAATCTTTACAATATTACTTTGTAAACTTTGTTACAATTTGTACAATATTACAATCTTTTCAATGTGAGACTATATTTACAATGATTAAAATCTCTTCAATTTTACAGTCTCACAACTTTTACAATCTTTTGAGTTTTTACAATTTTACAATCTTTACAATGTATATTATGATATTTACAATTATTACAATCTTACAATCTTTATGTTCTTTAAGTCTTAACTTTGCAAAGTTATATAACTTACAACTATCTTTCCTATGTTGTGGTCTCTGCAATCCAGTTCTCTTTACTATCTCCTCAATCTTTCTCTCATGTATAGCTGTGGATGGGCACCCACCCGAACTGTCCGTCTATGGTGAGCATCCCGGGCCAGGAGGAGATAACCCTGCAGAAGTGGGTGGAGAAACACCCCGAGCAGCTGGGGCCAGAGGTCCGCTCCTACTTCCACGACAGTCTGCCCTTCTTGTTCAAGGTGCTCTCGGTCAGGACGGCTCTGTCCATACAGGCTCACCCCAACAAGGTGAGCTTGAGTTTGTTTTTAGTGAGAGTTTTTACGGCTTTTGTAACACTTTTTTTCTTTCTTTTCTTTTCCGATCCAGCGGCCATTTGGGTTCTAGCCTTTCGGTCTGTCGATATGGCAAAGAATTTGCAGGTTTTAATCAGCTGTGCTTTGTCGCTGTATAGAGTAAGAGTAAACACAATTAAGTACACTTACTTACTTACTTACTTATTTACTTACTTACTTACAACCCATTACGCCATCTGGCGTTTAGGGCAGCAACAAAGGATCTCCAGCTCTGTCTGTTTTGGGCTATCTTGGTCAACGTCACCCCCACGAATGGTTCCAAGACTTCATCTCTCAGACTCTACTATACTGTGCGTCTCCAGGTCACTTTGGGTCTGCCCCTCTTGCGATGTCCTTCGGGTGTCCAGTGGAGGGCAGAATTAAGTACGCACCATCAATGGCGCATGATCTTTCCCTATAGGCCTACAGTCGAACCTGATGAGGAGTAGATGTGTTCTTTTTTTTTTTTTCGTACAGGTTTTACGGCGCTCGCAACTGCATAAGGTCATGTGAGCGCCAAGCGGTGTTCTAGAGAGTAACGTACAAAGAAAAGATGGAGAGATAAGGATAAAAGATGTTTGATAAGAATGAAGGACTGATAATCGAGATTTAAGAACTACAACAAAAAATATAAAAAAAGAATTGGGGCTCAGTATATATATATCTGAACAATTGGCTAACAATTGACACAATAAGAGAATAAAAAAGTTACACATCATTGGCTAGCTGTTCAGTTCAGATGTACTAAAGCCTAAAATTTGAAGTTTTTAAAATTGCAGTTTTTAAATCTGTGGTATCGGTTGCACATGCTGGAGAAATATTTGGTCAAAATTTAAATTCTACAGCATATGACCAGCGTCTGTGGTGTAATGGCCAGGCTTTTCACCATTGCATGCAGAAGATCTAAGTTCGGTTCCCACCTGCGGAAGTTGGTGTAAGTCAAAGTGTATGGAGTATCGCTGTCCGTCTACTGGTATGATGTTTTAACCTCAGACGAGTTTGGCCCTGACGACAGGCAGGGTTTAAGCAGTCTACTACTTTTCAGCTCTATTTCCGTTTGAATCGGTCGGTGTATTCTCCTTTGTTTTTCTCATAGCATGATTTCTCCGCCGTCGGCTGGCTAGGCCAGTCACGGTTTCACCAGAGCCCCTTTAGCCAGCAACGTTTTGGGGTGACCAGGCTCGGACTTCACGGCTAGCGTAATGCCTCAGTGACATAAAGTCACACCGTACTTCACCCAGACCCAGCTATCCCCTACTTTGTCCTGTTTGCACCTCCCCCGACGGAGGACAAATGGTTGGGCTTTGGTCGACTTCTAAATTATTTAAATTGTTATTACTTACTTACTTACTTGGTTGTAAAGTAGGCACCATTGCAGGCGGCACAATACCATAGCTGCACAAATTGCGACATTAGAATACTTGAATACTTGAACGTAGAACTAGGGTCTTAGGAAGACAGGGTGCTTCATGCTTCCACGCCCCTCGGCATAAGGGTCCATTTTAGTGTGGGAAGGCTGATTGTCTCCGTCTTTAGCTGGTTGTTGTAGCGTCCAATGGGGTCACCAAGGCTGGCCCTCCTGCCTTCACCAGGCTGTACTTCTCTCTCAATCACTATCTCCTTCGTGAAAGATTCCTCTTCATGGCTGCTGGCTAGGTGATCTTGGACAAGGGCTATTGTAGTTGGGGGATCAAGGGTAAGCTTTCTTTCCCTCTATGCTTTGCGGAGTCTGCTAGCTTATCCGCTCTTTCATTTCCCTTAAATTAGAGTGACATTAGAGGTGTAAAACAATTGTTTACGCCTACAATTTAATAATAATAATAATTGCATTTATATATCGCATATCCATGCTCAAGAGCATGCTCTATGCGCTTTACAACTATTATTACCCCAGCAGACCCTCTGAGAACACTCAGAAACATTCTCAGCTTCCGAGGAAGCATACATTTGAATCATTTGATTTGCTCTCCAGGTTCATGCAGAACTTCTCCACAAGAATCACCCAGACCTGTACAAAGACCCGAACCACAAACCTGAGATGGCCATAGCCCTGACACCCTTCGTGGGCCTCTGTGGCTTCAGGCCCATCAAAGAAGTTGCGCAGTTCCTACAGGGTGAGTCCAGAGCTGCCAACCCATGAAAAAAAATCGAGTGTTCAAATGATTTTAGCCCAAAAGGCAAATTTTTTTTTAGGAGAGGGGGGAAAAAAGATAAGATGAAATAAGATACATCTTTATTGTTCAGATCCTTGCTTATGGGTTTGGTGTTTCACCCCGTACACGCACACACGCACACACGCACACACGCACACACACACGCACGCACACATGCATACACACACGCACGCACACATGCATACACACACGCACGCACACATGCATACACACACGCACGCACACATGCATACACACACGTACACATGCATACACACACGCACGCACACATGCATACACACACGCATGCACACATGCATACACACACGCACGCACACATGCATACACACACGCACGCACACATGCATACACACACGCACGCACACATGCATACACACACGCACACACACATGCATACACACACGCACGCACACATGCATACACACACGCACGCACACATGCATACACACACGCACGCACAAGTGGGTGGATGCAGTGTCAGTCTTACTGTCCAAAGTCACTGAAAACAGGGGAGTCAGAATGACACTGTTGTGAAAAAGTGGAGGTTTTTGCTCAATATGCCGATACTTTAACTCTTTCACCACCAGGAGGTTTTCCTCACTTGGACTGGGCCTTATCTCAGTCTGTGACCTACTTAACTTTCCGATTCTGCCTACTCTCAGACAAATGAAAGATTTTGAGTTCAGTTTTCAATATTAGCCACTTGCATTATAAATATATTATTATATATGAAAATAAAGGGGAAATAATGACCTATCTCGACATCTTGCTAAAAATGATCATTCTTCAGCCCGAGATTTCATTTTCGATTGTTACAAGAGGTAGGACTGGTTTTGAAGCAGAAAGTGGAGGGTCGTGAAGTCCAGCAGTGTTGGGAGTAACACGAGCTGAGTAACACGAGCTGTGAGACACGGCTGGCAGTAGTGAAAGCGTCGAAGGCCTAGTGGTTATGCTCTCGGACTCGCAACCGTAAGGTCGTGGGTTCGAATCCTGTCAGGGACACGACATTGTGTCCTTGGGAAAGGCACTTTGCACAAATTTTCTTCACTTCACCCAGGTGGAAATGGGTACCCGGCTATAGACAGTGAACGATCTTGTCAGTTTGATAGTGTTTGAGGGCGTGAAATCCGCAGCTTGCACTGCATGCTTCCCCGGAAGCCGAGAATTATCCTGAGTGTTCTCAGAGGGTCTGTTGGGGTAATAATAGTTGTAAAGCGCATAGAGCATGCTCTTGAGCATGGATATGCGCTGTATAAATGCGATTATTATTATTAAAGCGTTAAATGCGACTGAATGCGTTGCTACGCAATGTGCCGTGACCATTGTGCTGAGGAAATGTGTTGTATTATTTTGCTTCAATTTTTTAAAATGTTAAAATTGGAAAGTTTAAGATTGTCCCTCTTTGTTTCATTTGAATCAAAGAGAAGATCATGTGTAATAGTTTGAAGCTGAACAAATTAAGGCTTGGATATTCAGAAAAAAAGTACAGACTGTTTTGGAATTAAACTGTTGTATTCGTCTTGCTCATAGTTGTTTATTTTACGAAACTATCTAATCTGTTGGTTTTTCTATCTTTGTAATAGCAGTTTTGTGAGTTAACTTTAACTGGTACTGTTTATCATTTTTACGTCCGACCTAAAGTTGCTTTTCGTACGCAATATTATTTGGTATGGATTTGTCTTATATACATCTTAGGCACTTCACACAATTTTCACCCCTGGGGTAGTGCCACTGACTGTAGTGTCTTTAGGCCATTCCCAAAGGGGGGACATTTCTGGTTCAAGCATAAAAGAATTGTAAATGGGCTGATTCATGTCACGCTCATAACTGTGCCTGATCTACAACAGGGAACTGCTGCTTTTTCTTTCCTGATCCTTACTATTGTCATTTTCCTCTACTTCTTTTGTATGTTTGTCACTCTCTTATGACCTTCTATTTCCGGGGTGCCTTGATAGTGGAAGCAGACCTTGTGCTGTTGAAGCTAGAGAGGTGAGCACAGTAAGTCTGATTCCCTGTAAAGACTTCTCTGTTGACACCCACCCCTTGGCGCTCATATGACCTTATGCAGTTGCGAGCACCGTAAAACCCTCTACTATAAAAAAAACCAACAACACAATTTTCCTCACTAGACCTGGGTAGGAATGGGTACCCAGCCATAGACAGCGAAAGATCTGGTCAGTACGTTTGTGTTTTAGCGCTCATAAAATGGCATCTTGCGCTGTAGTGTTTTAGCGCCTATAAATGGCTGTTTGCACTGTATGCTTCCCAGGAAATTGAGATTGTTTCAGAATGCTATCAGGTCTGCGGGGGTAATAATGTGTAGATTGTAAAGTGCATAGAGCTTACTGTTGAGTGGGAATTTGTGCAAATGATATATGAGAGAGAGAGAGAGAGAGAGAGAGAGAGAGAGAGAGAGAGAGAGAGAGAGAGAGAGAGAGAGAGAGAGAGAGAGAGAGAGAGAGAAAGAGAAAGAGGGAGAGGAGAGCAATCCCCCCCCGTCCCTCCATTCCTCCCCCCCCCCCCACCTCTTTTTCTGCTCCCCTTTCCTTGACATCTCATTATACCCTGAACAACAGCAGCAGTAAAACTGCCGTGCCAGTTATTGGAGTGCTGTCATAAAGCTCTCCCGGTAGTCACACTGTAGACCAGCGGTCCCCAACCTTTTTTTTGACTTACAGCTCGGCTTCGTGTAAGACATAAGTGAAGAAGCATCGTGGTAGAATCAGGCGCTCGTCAATTTTTGGGGCATATTGAGTTAGTTGTATACCTTATAGCTTGTTCGTTTACCTTGCTTTTGGGGGAAAAAAATACCCATAATGTCTTGAATAGAAGTCGAGATTTTTATATTTGAAGGAGGGGGGGGGGGGTCACCTGGTGTTAGAGGTAAACTTGTGGGTGGTTGGCGGGTGCTCTGGTGTGGTTTGCTCCTTCTTTCCTATCAAACATCTATCGTCCTTATCTCCCCTTCTTCTTTTTTATGTTTATTACTCTCTTGTAACACCTCTAATCTTCTGGCGCTCATATGACCTCATGCAGTTGCGAGCGCCGTAAAACCTCTACTAAAACTAAACTAAAACTAAGAGGTAAACTTAGCCTCAAAATAGCCGCCAAAGTTTGGTGACTTCCAAAGCTTTAGTGACCTTGAAAACTACAAATTTTACATCTTTGTACCATATACCTGATATCAATGTTTCTCAGTAAAGTCCTTGCTGGAATGTGTTTTTGTTAAAGCGAACATAAAAGGCGTAGAGCCAAGCCCCCCCCCCCTTCCCCCCAAAAAAACCCCCAACAATTATCCGAATTGATTATTTTGACGAGCGCTTGATTTAACCATGATGCCTCACATATTTATATATAATTTTTATGGACCGGTCTTCAAGGTGCGGTGGATAAATGCAACAAAAAAAATTATATGACCGACATGGAATAAAGTATCTAATAATACGTATGATGTTTAAACAAACGTGAAGTGTGGGTGGTTGGCGGATGCTCTGGTGTGGTTTGCTTCTTCTTTCCTATCAAACATATATTGTCCTTATCTCCCCTTCTTCTTTTTTATGTTACTGTCTTGTAACACCTCTAAACTTCTGGCGCTCATATGGCCTTGTGCAGTTGCGAGCGCCGTAAAACCTCTACTAAAACATAAACGTGAAGTGCATAGAAAAACACAACTAACCTCAACGCCGTATCAGAGAGAGCCCTAGAAATCTGGTCATTTGTCAAAATATACCTTCTTTCACAGTTTTGATAATCAGTTAATTAATTTATTCATCATAGGCCAATGTCATTTTTTTTTCTTTGCTAGACAACACACATCGCACAGCGCACACTAGACAGCACACACCATGCAGTACATAGATATAACAGGACACACATCGCACAGCGCACACTAGACAGCACACATCATGCAGTACATAGACATAACAGGACACACATCGCACAGCGCACACTAGACAGCACCAATCATGCAGTACATAGACATAACAGGACACAC